ATGCTACTAATAGGATGTTATCAGATCAGTGAATATTCTCAGGGGTACAACTGACTGTCTGTGTGAGGCAGGATTTACTGTCATCTCACTGAGGGAGGAGAGGGGAAAATAGTACTGCTGCTATGCTGGAAAATTTCACGGTTTCTGTCTCTAGTGGAAAACAGTTATCACTAACACATCCTGGCATGTAATTTGCCTCATTTATTACTGTCTAGCATTGGCTTAAAATGCACAATAAGCACTAAGGGACTTACAGAGGGTTGCACTTCTTTGAGGAAACATTACACAGAGGTGCCAAGAACTTTCAGAGGTGGTGGGGGCTCCTTTCGCCCAAACTGGGACACGCCTTCATGACTGAAAAAATGTAGATGACCCTTAGACTGAAAAAGAGAAAAATTCAGTGCAATAATGGGCAAAATAAAAACCAGCAGGCCTGGATGTTGTCCCTACTTTTACCACAGATTACCACAGAAAGGAAAGATTCCACTGGTTTTAGGCTGTATCTTTGGTAAGTAAGGTAGTCACAGTACAGTTCTATAGATGTTTACTCAGGGGTTGGTCTCACTACATTCAGCCAAATATGCTCCCTAATAAATGGATTTCTCTCAACTGGTCAATCCTAATCAACTTGTATAGTTGTTTAAAACTTCAGTAATGTATTACCATGACCAAATTATGGGCAGAAAGTAGCAATGAATTGAAACAACTCCTGATGAAAGTAAAAGAAGAAAGTGCAAAAGCAGGATTGAGGCTGAACATGAAGAAAACAGAAATCATGTCCACAAAAGAATTACAGGACTTTAATGTTAACAGAGAAGAAATTGAAATTGTTAAATACTTTGTATACCTTGGCTCAACCGTCAACTCAAATTGAGAAAGCAGCCAAGAACTTTGAAGAAGACTGAGTCTTGGAAGGGCAGCAACGAAGGAACAGGAAAAGATCATCAAGTGTAAGGACATTTCACTGGAAACCAAGGTCAAGATCATCCACACTATTGTATTCCCAATCACTGTGTATGGGTGCAAAAGCTGGACAGTGAAGAAAATTTACAGAAAGAAAATGGATGCATTCAATAATTGGTGCTAGAGAAGTTTTGTGAATACTCTGGGCCAACAGAAAGATGAACAAGCAGGTCTTAGATCAAATCAATCCATTACTTCCCATGGAAGCAAAAATCACAAAACTGAAGCTGTCATAGTATAGCTGTCTCATGGCATATCATGAGAAGGAAAGAGTCACTGGAAAAGTCAGTAATGCTAGATAAGGTTGAAGGCAGAAGAAGAGGTAGACCGACTATGAGATGGCTCAGTTCTATAAAAGAAGTCCCAGCCTTGAGTTAACAGGTGCTGAGCAGGGCTATTAAGAACAGGACATTTTGGAAGGAATTCATTCATCAGGCTGCAATAAGTTGGCAATGACTTTACAGCATGTGACAGAAACAAGGACAACAACGTATTAAAATTGCTCTCTGATCCGACTGTTGAGGCTGACAAGCAGGGCTATTTCTGAAGTGAGGAAAAGGAAGGAACTGCCCCAGGTGTGACGCGTGCACGGGTTCACATCAATGGTGACATTCAACATTGATAGGCATGGCTGCATTGTTGCCAGTTGTTGCCACCCAAGCCTCAAATTCCCACTAACTTGCCTTCCATTAACTCCTGTATGTGATAGTATTGTCTTTTAGCCACAAATTAACTAGATTAGGGTGTCATCTTATGACTAGATGGAGAAAGCTGGAAGTTGTAGGACTATTTTCAACACATATTAGAAACATGGCTCGTGCACCAACAATCGGGAGTTTTTTCCCCCAGAAATGGATGTTTCATCTATTTTTGCAACTCCTCAGTAAGTATTACATAGCATTTATATCCCACCTTTTTCCTCTTGCAGGGAACTCAAGCCGGCTTACATAGCTCCATTTTATCATTACAAGAAACACCTTTTAAATATTTGAAAGGATAAAACACAGCAGAGTGCAATTAAAGGCCGAACAGAAGGGTACCGAAGATGCTGCTTGTGCTCATACTTGCTTGTGGATCTCCCGCAAGTATCTGTTTGGCCACTGTGGCAACACCACACTGGACTAGAAAGGCCTTTGGTCCTTCTAGCGGAACTCGATTCCTCTTATGTCAATCCACTGGCACATTACACTACTAGGTGGGAATACAGTAATGTCTTGGGATTTCACGTGGCTTGGGTATTTATATGAGAGTGTACAGATAGCAGCAGCATTGTGGAAGATAGCCTTTAAAATAAAATTATTCGCATCCAGCTCTGAAACCTACCGAGATACGCGATGACTGCAATGACCAGGTCAGCCACACCGTTAAATGTTTTAACCTCTTATTTATGTTGATTCCATACAGCACCACACACAGCGGTGACACAGAGCCGCCTCACTGCTGCCCCACAACCAGTAGAGCTGCAAGTGCAGCTGCTCATGCTACGGTAGCTTAAGTGGAAGAGGGATGGGAAACCGTTTTTGCCAAGACACGCACATAGAAAAGGGCATGGGATTTTTTGCCCGGGCTAATAACGCCTAATCCCAGGCTAGGACAAAAGCCAAGTCAGCGCCCTGCACCAGTCCTCCCTAAAAGGCCGCTCTCCGGATGCCTCGGACTGCACCTCCCATTATCCCCAGCCATCATGAAAGCTGCAGCCAAAATAACTAGAGGGCACCATCCTTCGGAAGACCGCTTTACAGTCCTCTCTATCGTCCCGAACGCACGCTGACTATGTGAAAACTACAATTCCCATAATGCTCTCAGGCCCAGGCTGGCCCTATACGGATGAGCATCGAGGGAGAGGAGACGGAAGAGGTGCTGAGGACGCTCTAAGGGGCGGGACTCCGAGGCAGAGAGACAAATCAGAAAGCCGCGTTCCCAGGGAGTGTTTAGCGATTTTTCCGGTTCCCGGTTGCAGTTCATAGGCTCTTCCACGTGTGCGGTCAAGAGTCGTGGAAGTTCAAAGGCATTATCGCGGAGATGGAAAGCTGACAGGTTTTTTCGAAGTAGCGCGTCCGTGCAGGGGCTTCTATTCCACGAGTTCGCATGTTCGTCTTTGCAGTCCTCTCGACCCCTGGCAGGGCTTCTGATCCAAAGCAAGCCATCAGCTGAACGGAAGGACAAGCGCTGAGCATACCTAGACATATAGCACACGGCAGTGGCCCCTTCCGAAATGATTATGATTTGCACTCAAAAATATATATAATGGGGGGGGGGAGATCCATCTTAAGACGTTGCACGGTGTGCAGAAAGGCAGTGAGTGTCTTCTCATGGGTACATAATTGAATGTGTGGAAAGAATATTGAAAGAATATTGAGCGCAGGCGAATGACACGCTGCTAAGGACTCCCGGACCAGCGTGGGCGTGCAAAGGAGAAAACTGCTAGTGCACGCGAAAAGTTACAAAGCACAGTGGTGCTTTTATGATGGAGATACTAGAAACCTCCGTGTGAGAAACTAGTATGCTAATCATGATAGGCTTTGATTTTTAGCTGCCAATAATCTCGCTCAAGGTCATGGCTCAGGCTTTATGCTACTGTGCTACTCCGTTGGAAAGAGTGTTGGTCAGGTTCCCAGAGATCTGAAGAGTTGTAAAGGCTGAAGAAGAGGAAGACCAACTATAAGATAGATGGATAAACTGCAGACTTGCCTTTACAGGAGCTGAACAGGGCTGTTGAGGACCGGGCATTTTAGAGGGCATTCACTCACAGGATTGCCATAAATTGGAGATGATTTGGTGGCATGTGACAACAAGGCTTTCACTTTAATGTCTCCTGATAGTTACCTATTGCATTTATATCTTGTCCTTTTTCCTACAAGGAATACAAGGTGGCTCCTCTAATCCATTTTATCCACAAGAACTTGGTAAAGGTAGTGAGCATCCATAACTGGCCCAAAGTCACCTAGTCTGTTACATGGCAGAGTGGGGATCTCCCAAGTTCAACACCCTAACTACTTGGCCAGGGAGCTATTTTTGCAATATTGTGTTAAGTGACATGTATTTGAAAGTACACCAAGAAAACACGCTGCTGTTGTATGAGGGGGAAGTGGGATGCTTGTAAGTGACAGATTTGACCCTTTATTACAGCACAGTCCTATGCATCTACACTCCACAATTCATTAAGTTAATACTCAGCGCTTTCTGTTAAATTGCTCAAAGTGGCTAACAATAAAAACAAATATAATACAGAAACATCTGTAGAATTCTAACAAGGCTGCACTAACCTGCCTCAGCCTGGTGCCTTCCAAATGTTTTGGACTTCTAACACCTGGAAAGTAGCCAGGCTGGGGAAGGCTGCTTCACATGGTTACTGGAGCTTCTGAATGGACATGCCTAGAATTGTTTTGTAATATTCAATATAACAGTAGGAAAAGTGATCATAGCTTCCACCTGTTGCTCTTCTCACTCCTTACTGTGTAGCAGAATTGCTAGGCCAATGCCTCAGTTAGGCCAATGCCTCAGTTTTCCCAGGAACCCCCTCAAGGAGCCCAGGGCAAGGGGGATGCCGTTAAGGTGGCTAGAAAGCTGATCCTTGGGTGACGTAATCCAATCTCACTACTGCATCGTATATTCAATGAGACTTGTGTCTCCTTAAACAGAGGGAATCAAGGCTTTACAGCATAATCTAATAGCAGAGGTCACTCGTACTGAATGCATGAGAACTGAACGTGATTATGGGAGGGAGGCCTTAGACAGAGCAACCTGCCAAGCTCGCCGTGCTGCGAGCTCCGTGCGTTTCGATTTGCATGTGCAGCGGAGCGGCGCAGATTCTTTACCGCTGTGCCGCCGCGCGGGGAAAAGAGCACAGCGACGCCTTGTTTGGCCCGCCCGCTTTGCTTCTTGACGGGCAGCTGGAAGGCAAGCAGGAAAGGAAAGCGACGCCTTGGGCCCGCCTTCGGAGGTCCTCTCCAGCGGCTGCAACCGGGCAGGGCGGGGATAAAACGGTGAAAGTCCCAGGAATTGGCTTGCGAGACTGGGGGATCTTGGCGGGAAGATGAGTGCCGACTCGCTTACCTTGGACTGCATCATCCATCTCTTCTCGCACCTGGAGGTACCGGATCTGCTTAGAGCAGCCCAAGTGAATAAGGTACCCAGCACCTCCTACAAGAGCCCCCAGTACGCCCGTGTGCCCGGAGGGCGACCGGGCGTGTGTTTCCCGCGTCCCCTAACTCCGCGATTTGCGGTTACTGAATGTTTACCTAACACTCACGTGCTTATTAGCAAGGTCTTTGTGGTCCAACGCTTTTTAACCCGCTTGAAAAGCATTGTGTATGGCAAGCTCTCTCCCCACCCTCCCCCGTCCGTTCCTTCGTTTCAAATGATCGTGGCATGAGATTGTCTTCGCTTTCTTTTATGAGTGAATCTCGCATTTGGGGTTGAGGGAGGAAAAATCGCACTGAGCTTACAAACATACAGGCGTAAAGATTGCCGAAATGCATCCAACAGAAAACGGGAAGCGCTTCGGGGCGGTGGGGTGGGTGGAACATTTGGATGCTTTCATTTTCGGAATGAGCCCCCATCGAACTGAAGGGCACATTGATTGGGTGCAGGGGGAGAAGACCCTTCAGATGCGTTTTCGCAGGGCATCTCGCCCACGACGGGCACGAGCTGCGCGACCAGGACGCCGGCAACAAAGCGGGGCGCTTTGTTGATCTATGAAAAAGAAAACACTCCCGCTTCCGGGAGGCTGGCTGGCCATGACGACGTCGCTTGACTTTTGTTTTCTTGCCGGCCGCACCTCGGAGATTTCTGCAATACAGGCGGAGGTGCAACTGGGTAATTCGGCGCCCTGAACTTAATGGCCTTACTGTGGGGCAGAGGGGGATATGTCAGATGGCCAGGCAGATGCCTCCATTTGTGATGCACACAACTAAAATGACTCTTCCTTCCCCGCCCACCAATCACTGCCATTCCATGCATTGCAACGGATATATTAGAGTCTAATAATTAGAATCTAATAATCAGAGCAATGCAAACAAATATTAGAGTCTAACAATAAGAGCAATGCAAACAACAGTGCCCTGAGAGACAGACAGTGGGCATGTACAGATTCACATTTTAAACTCACGTAAATCATATCACCAACATGATTTACAGGAATCCTGTGGAATTTGTTGTTCTGCCTAAATGCTAGACACTTTTACTTAAGAATCCCATTTTGTTGTAGAAAAGTGTGTGTGTGTGTGTGTGTGTCAGTCACAGAATGAACATTTGATATCAGGAATGAGTCCCCTGATGTGCACACATGCACAATAACCAGTGTGATATGGAGTTTAAAAGAGTTGGACTGCAGCCCAGGAAAATCCAGATTCTAGTCCTTACTTAGCTAGGAAGCTCACTGGGTGACTTTGGGCCAGTTACTCGTTCTCAACCGAACCTACCTCAGAGGGTTATTGTGAGGTAAAATGGATCTGTGTCGGCCTCCTTGGGCTTCTCACAAGAGGAAAAAGGGTGGGATATACGTGGGATATGAAAAAGGTTGTTGCATGAGTGGCATTGGGCCAGGGAGACCCAGCAGTGCCATTGCAGGTGGTTATTTGGAAGGTGCAGCCCTCGCTGTACCACTGAGCGCAGGCCATGTACCGGAGCTCATGGAGGAGCACGTAGGATAAGCTGAATCAGGCCAAGAGGTCCATCCAGTCCATCCTTCTGTTCACACAGTGGCAATCCAGCTGCCCTCAAACAGGACATGAGTGCAGCAGCACTCCCGTGCCCATGTTCCCCAGCCGCTGGTGTACACAGACACACTGCCTCTGATACCAAAGGTAGCTTTCAATGCAACTGCTTTAACGGGCCCTGCAAACACTTTGGAGCTGCAGAATGTTGTGCTGATGTTCACAGGAATCAGGTTGCAACTTCTCCTGCCCCCTTGAAATTGACAAGCAAAAATTTGCTTGTTAGTTGAAGTTTTGCTTATCGCAGTGTCTGCACGCTTCAGAAAGTTTCTCCAGGTGAGGCTGCATGGCATATTTTTGGAACTGAATCCTTAGCTGCCTGGCCCTTTTTATGCTAACGCTGAAAATACAGCAGCCTTCCCCAACCTTGTTCCCTCCAGATGTTTTCAACTATAAATCCAGGCATCGCTGAGCAATGCCCGTGGCTTGCTGGAGACCAGAGGGGAGGTGAAGTCCAAAACATCTGGAGGGTACCAGGTTGGGAAAGCCAGTACAGAACTAAGTGCTTCAAAGTAATGGGCAATAGATTTCTGAAGCAAGAATCCTGAACACACCTTGGACTGCTGTGAAGGGACTTACTTCTGAGTAAGCAGAGATAGGGAATTTCTGCAAATTCTCCAGCATTGGCTGCTAGTGAATCCAGAGAAAATGTTTCTAAAACTGTCACTTTGCTCCTCTTTTAGACATGGAATGAAGCAGCAGAGACCACTTTTCTTTGGAGGTGAGTGCCTTTAAAAAAATCTGTTTAAAGGTTTACTTTGGTACCCTTGGTACACATGCAAAATTCTGTCAATGACCAGACAATGAAATTAGAGAGATCAGAGTTTTTTGTGTTTAAAGGAATATGTATTAGCATGTTTTCCAGCATCTTTATTTTCATATGACTAAACTTGCACAGAATTGCAGAAAGTAAAATGCCAGTCCATGGAATTTGTGCAACTCAAAAAATTTCATTCCACACAGAATCTGTAGGTCAGAAATTCTAAAGTCACTTGAATCTACAGTGTATCACCCTGAGATCTCTAGTGTCAGCTGTTCCTCTTCACAGCTCTGAATTCCAGCTGCTGGAGAACAGGTGTCTGTTGCCCTCATGTCCAGCTTGTGGGCTTCCTGCAGGCATCTGGTTAGCTCCTGCATGTGAAGAGAATGCTAGACAAGATAGGCCTCTAGTCCAATCCAGCAGAACTGAGCTCACATTCTTAAGGATGCAATCCTATGCATATTTAGACAGAAAAGAATCAAACACAGGAGCAGTAGGAGGTTTTTCTGTCTAAACATGCATGGGATTGTGCCTTAAATGATGAAGCCAAAAGCTTCACAGAAAATGTAGATTGTGAGGAAGATAAGAGAGCTCACACCAGTACTTAAGAGCAGGAGAATCCTGGCACATCAGACTGAAAGTCTCTCTAGTCCAGCGTCTTATTCCCCCACCCTTTCTGAGCAAGCCCCCATGGGAAGTGTGCAGGCAGAACATGAGGACAAATAGTCTTCTCCTGCTGTTGCCTTCTCATCAGCTGGGATTAAGAAGTATTCTTCATGAGGACTAGAAACTTGTCATAGCCTTATCCTCCATTTTTCTAGTCTCCTATGTTGGTGGACATAATCATATTTTTCAGTAGCAAATCCATACTTTAACTGTGCAAAGAAGTACTTCCCATACTCGTCTCTTCTGACTAGTCATCTTTTTTGGATTACTACTGAATTCTAGTACTGTTTGAAAATGTCTCCCATTCTGCTTTCTCCATGCTGTGCATAATTCTGCAAACCTCCAGCTTCATGAGGAAAACCTCAGACATTGCAAAGTTTTCAAATTCAGACAGACATTTTCATGTAAAGGAGAAAACAAGGGCAAATGAGTGGAATCGTTTTAGTGATCAAAAGACCTTTGGGCAACAAAAGGCAATGGAAGAGTGAAAGTCAAAAACAGGGAGGCAAAGAGAGAGAGGCAAGTAGAGCTTTAAAGGTAAGAAGAAGAATTCTGCTATATATACAAGGGGATGGGAAATCAACTGAGGGCATTCCAAGAGGGTTATTTTGTGACCTGAGTGGTGGCAGAGGTGAAATATTTTGGCAGCAGTTAGCTGAGTAGAGGTGAGAAAACTGAGGAAAGGCTAGGAGAGATTAAGGGAGAAGCAAGCTGGAAGGCAAAAACTTATCTGAGCATGACTCAGAATTTTACTCAGTGGGCAGAGAGGGAAGTGCAGATTTTCTGCAGAGTCATCCATTGCACAAGCAAGTAATGAATGAGATCATGGTGGAGCTGTTAAACTTGATTTTCTAAATAAACCCGTACTTTAGCTTGGTCGTGGAGCCCCTGTTTTTCATGAGGAAGATGCCTGGTTCAGTTTCTGGCATCTCCAGGCAGAGATGAAAAACTGTTGCCTAAAAACTTGGAGAGCCACCTATAGCCTGTGTCCAGGATTCTGGGCTGCACAGACCCACGCTCTGGCTCAGTAGAAGGCGGCTGCCTGTGCCAGGTGGCCAGACTGCAACCTGGAGCATGTGAGCTTAGCATGAGCAGCTGAGAGAGCGCACAGGTGCTTTGTCTTCCACTCGGCATTTCTCCTTCTGTCCCATCACCTCCCCACCATTCCTACAGCAAGCAGAATCTCAGTATGCTGTAATCCAGAGACGTAAGTCATTGGGCGGCATACAACTTAATTAATTAATATTCCTGCACAGAAAGATGGCAAAGGATGGTGAGCAGAAGGGCTGGAGGGGGGTAGGCAGCTGAACAGCTTCACCTTCTTGATTCAGGAACTTATTTTCAAACATCTCTAGGGTCTATGTGGAATACTTGCAATGCAATGCAGTTCATGTTCACTTGGAAGGAAATCCGGTTCAGTAAGATTTGCTGCTAGGTAAGTGCGTGTAGGATTCCAGCCTTGATTGCCACTGATTATTCTCTCTGTTAATCAGTATATATGCACTAATAGCAAAAATCATGTCTACAGAAGAATTACAGAACTTTACCGTTAATAATGAAGAAATTGAAATTATGAAAGATTTCATGTAGCTTGGCTCAGACATCAATTCAGAGGGATACTGCAGCCAAGAAATTTGAAGAAGGGTGAGACTTGGAAAGGCAGCAATGAAGGAACTAGAAACGATCATCTAGTATAAGGACATTTTACTGGATTCCAGGGCCACGACCAACCAGACTATTGTATTCCCAACCACCATGTATGGGTGTAGAAGCTGGGCAATGAAGAAAGCTGACTGGAAGAAAATTGATGTGTTTGAAGCATGGTGCTGGAGGACAGCTTTGCACACACGCTGGACTGACAGCAAGACGAACAAGTGGGTCTTGGACCATATCAAACCAGAGCTTTCCCTCGAAGCAAAAAGGACACGAGTGAGGCTGTCATACTTCAGACACTTCATGAGAAGGCAAGACTTCCCTGGAGAAGAAAATTACATTAGGGAAAGTCAAAGGCAGAAGACAAGAGGGAAGTCCAAATACGAGATGGACTCAATCCATCAAGGGAACTGCAGCCTCCAACTTGGAAGAGCTGAACCGAGCTGCCCTGGGCAGGACATTTTGGAGGGTTATCATTCACAGGTTCGCCATAAGCCCCAGACAGCTTGATGGCACACGACAACAACAAAACTCAGCTGTTAAGTTTTATGAAAACTGTGTAGCCAACATGAAGCAGTATTGAAATGCTCTGGGAAAACGCAAGATTTACAAAATAGAAAACCACAAACAAACCAGGAAACAAAGTTTTGGGGGGGACCAGAAGCTCCAAACAGCCCAGTGAAAAGTGAGATTGATAGATGGCCAAAAGTGTGGAGAAAGGAATGGGAAACATCATGAATGGAGCCGGCTAGAGCTGGGAATCAGATTAGATGGCCCAGGAGGCCCCTTCTGACTCGCTCTGTTCCTGTGAAACCGGGGGGGATTAAGGAAGGGAACAGAGTGCCCAGGGCATGGGTGGTGTCTGGAGCAGGAGGGTCCCACCCTGCATCATGATGGTGCAAGTCCCACTAGTGCGCTTTATTTTATCATTTGTAATCCTGTACAAGATTACGCAGAGGTAAGCCCCAATGAACCGCTCAGAAGTTCAGTGACATTTACTCCCGGGTAAATGTGGGCAGGATTGCAGCCTTTCTTTACTTCAGGAGGGGGCTGCCAGACAGAGGGCGCCCAGTGGGAGGTCTCCTAGGCATGATTTGTTGCAACTGCTTGAGTTGTGTGCTGGTGTAAAAGGACAGGAGGACTATTGGAATGGCCATCCATCTGCAACTTTTCACCGCAGTTTTAAATATTTACACATTTACTTCCGGGTCCATGTGTTACGTGTTTGCTAACAGTATTACTTAATATATGAGCTGGTTCACATCTAAAAAGCAACCATGGGTTAAGTCACTCATGGGTTGGCCAGGGTCACACAGGGCAAGTATCCCACCTGCTTAGTGCATCCAGTTTAGAAAATGACCTTGGAATGCCCTGTTCTGGGTTGTTTTCTTTGGTGTGACATCAAACCCAAGGCTCTGGGTTGCTGAGGTGGAGAATTTTAACCCACCAACAAACCATGGGCTGTTTTTATATTTTCTTGCCTGGCAGCCAGTACATATTAGTATATTTATACAGTGCTTTAGAGTGTTTTTAAAAGCCTGCTTAGGAATCTCCCAAACAAATGACTTTTAAAAAAATCAATTTCCACCCAACACAAGACTGTTTGGCCATCTGTTTTTCAAGGCTGCCAAGAGTTTGCAACTAATCATTCAGCGAAACAGCTATGGAGAAGGCCATTTGGATTTCTAAGTAATCGTATCACTGTTTATGTCCATAGAAATATGTGTCTGAGACGGTGGGCCTTCTGCAATATCTCTGTGATCCCAGGAATGCAGACCTGGAAAAGGTATTATCTTCACCGCTCTAATCTCGAGCATAAAATGGCATCAGGGCGGCCTTCAGTTGACTATACATGCAAAGCTATGAGAGGGCATAAAGGTATGTGCCTTGTGGTAAATACTCGGAATTTCATTTGCTGGAATAGAAAACCCATTTCCTGTCTTCCTGCCAACCATGCCTTATATGAGTTGAAACCAACAGTGCTGTTCCACCAGAAACTCCCAACAGAAATTGCTGGTAGTCCAGAAGGTTGAAGGACCCTCCAGCGCAGTTCTGAAAGGCATGTTCAGAGTGAGGGAGCTGCAGGAGGAAGGAAAGTGCAGGAGACGGAGGCCCTGTTGTGCAACTGGATTTCAGCTCCTGTTATGTTGGACTCAGCCCTTCGTATGTGCTGTGCTTTTTCTTTAGAGGGGACTCAGGAACACAGGTTGCCTTGAGACCAGGGATGTAGGCATAGAGTAAGATGATCACATCCATGAAAATACCGATTTGTGACCTCCTTTCCATCCGTCTGCCCCACATATTTCATCAAGATGAGCTTTTTCACTCCTCCAGCTGGAGCATTCTTGGGGGGGAGGGAAGGGGGTTGGAGAGGCTGTAGAATCGCTCATTTCCTGGCTTCTCCAGTTTTCTCCCATTTCCACATGCCAGAACACCCCTTTTTACCCATCGCCGAGGTTGCATTTTTAGCCTCCACCTGTGACGGGGGGAAATTGTTTACTGCAGTTCTAGGTTCTTTTGCCTTTTGGTCCCACCTTATTTGCCTTTTTATCCCACTGAAATGCTGTTGTTAAGAACAATTGACACAATGGGGCTGTGAGTGCCAAGCTTGACTCAAGTGTGAAGTGTGAAACACAAAAAAAACTAAAGTATATGCATGATACAAAATGCAGAAACTTCTCATTTTTCTACATAGCTCTAAAATCTAACAGTGAAAATCAGACTATTCCAGATAAACAATCCATGTTAACAATGTACAGTGTGTGCAATAAACTGGTTTGATATCATATATTAATACTATCTCTCTCCTTCTCTGTATAGATATATATTTCGCATAAAAGTGTTGAAAGTGCATTTGTAATTACACCGCTTTATTCTCACTGGTGTGTTTTAAGGTTGTGTGTTCGGCTGAGACTGCTTCTTTGTCTTCTGTTTAATTGTCTCAGCTCCTTTCTGATTCAAAACTAAACGCATTGGCATAGTTGGCAGCAGTCACAGTTAATGCTGAGCACTTGTTGTAGACCTGGAACAGGCTGAGCATGGTAGTGCCAGTGGCAGAAAATAAAGGCCTACCAGATTGACGATGGGATGGTGTTCCTTCTGCTAGCAAGGCTCAGATTATTTGGTTAGTCCGCCCAAAGATATTTTGTTTTTAAGGGCAATCCTGTGATGTTGTTGTAGGAGTGATAAATGACATGGCTTACCTCTCAAAGAATGAGCACACATTTGCAACTGGGCAGGTCCAGTCTGTTGTATGCACAGCATCTTCTGATGGCACCGTCAAGACATGGAACGTCCAAGAGGTGGGTCAAAAACAAAGCTTCGGCTGTTGGGCAGTATAGAAATCACACTAACAGTAAGTAATAAAATTATAATAATAAGCTGACTAGAAGGATTTAAAGGGCAGAGTTCTGGGCGTATTTAGGCAGAGAAAAGTCCTACAGTTCCCAGCATGCCCTAGACAGGATCAGCAGGGCTGTTTTTCTGCCTAAACTTGGGGATGGTGCCCTAAATGTACCTGCACTTCAGACAGATGCAAACATTCAGAAGAAAGCAGAATGAGGTTTATGTTGGGTGGGAAAGGTAAATGCATACTTTGAGTTGTTTTAAGCAAGAGAAGAAAGAAGCTCCTCTAGCTTTCACTGATGTTTCTCTGCTTTGTTACTACTACTAAGGATAGGCTGGATGTCCACACGGTGGGCATGTCGTGAGCGGAGCCGGCTGGTGCCGGAGGTCAGACTAGATGGCCCGGGAGGCCCCTTCTGACTCGCCCTGTTTCTGTGTTTCTATGTATAGATGCCCCTTCTGCCCAAGCATGCCAGGTGGCTTGCGGTGCAGCACAGTGGCTTGTAGAAGCATAAACCAGGAGTGCCAGCGTGGCAGGGCGTCAAAGGCTTGGGCTGGGGCTGGGGAGACCTGGGTTCCAGTCAAGCCAGGCGGAATAGCTCCAACTGGAGCTGATTCCGGGTAGGAAGGTTCCAAATGGCAGATGGTCTGATCCAGTCAGGTAGAATCGAGGCGAATCAGCCCAGACCTGGCTGAGATAAGGATGTTGGTCACCATAGTTAGAGAGCTTCTGCGGGGAAATCCTGCATGTAAAGCAGCACATGCAAGGAGAGTGCAGAATGGATTGGTACCTCATGTGGAAATTTTCATTGTGGAAAGCTAATTACGACAGGATGTGAAGTAGAGCTGTTTGCCATCTGCTTAGCGATGGATTGCATGAAAAACAGCTGGTGGATTCGGAAATTTGGATGTGTTATTCTAAAGTTTCTTGGCATGATAATGGAACTTGAAATCCCCTGACTTCCTTGCCTGTGAAGGGTGACTGGAGGTCAAGACTGGCCCAAAGTTAATGTCACTGATTTGAAATGAAGTACATACGGCTAGGAGATGTCTGGCTGATCATTATGTTCGAACTGATAAAATTACATGAACAAATTCCAGCAAGGTCAAGGTGAAGAGAAGGGCCTTTTCTACAGTAAAAACAAAATAATGGTCTTTTCCCCTCCCTTTTTCATAAAGGAGTCTGTTAGAACTGATACTAGAAAATACACTATCATGGAAAGTTTTAGTATTTAAAAACACACACAGTAATAAACATTACAGCCCTGACTACACTGGCAGGATGTGCTTTTTTAAGTACCCTTCATATGGCACAATTTTTTAATTATTATTTTTATTTTTTATCAGGGTACACAGATTTGGTCGAGTCCGCAACAGGAAGTGCCACTAGCAAATATTATCACATTTCCTCTGTATAAATTGGCAGTTACAATAGACTGTCAGGGGATGATCAAACTCTGGCATGGGGACACGGGCCAAGAGCTTGCATCGTTTTCCGTGTCATCCTCATCCTGTTCAGTGGCCGCCTACACAAAAAACAACAAGCCATTCCTAACGGTAAGTACACCCCTCATTGGATTGCTGACAAACCCTCCTGCAAGCTTCCTGTTACCTTGACAAATGCTGACTAACAAATAGGGGGTAGTGCACATTCAGGCTTCAGGGACAGAAGACTGGATCATCCCAAGGTCTTCCTAGCCCTGTGTTCTTTCCAGGAGATGCAAGAACAAGCAAGCACCAGATGACTTACCAGAGGTTGGTCAGACGTCCATGGGTTGCCTCCTTCCAGACCTCAGTAACTAGTTTTAAGAAGTACATCCAAAGATGTTAAACCATTAACCATATGTTTAATATTCCCCATTTGGTTTAGGTAGGTACTGGAGTAGGCATCCTCTATATATTGGCAGCTTCTGATCTGAGCCAGGTTTTACGCACGGAAGTATTTCAAAACTGTGGCATGGATTTGTCTCTCTGTTCACCAGATGGGCAATGGATAGTTCTTTGTCCAACTGATCCTGCTTTTTCACCAAAGGTACTTTTATGCTGCTTTTTAATGGATTTGGTGATATCTAGGCTTTCATTGTGCAATGACTTTGCCTTGTTCACAGAATTTTACAGAGACTTGACATCTTTTTGTAGTCTTCCTGGGCTGTCCCATCACTGTTTTGTCTTTTTCTTTCCCCAAATAAATCAATCAAGGAAGACATGGAATAGCTGGCAGTGCCTTTTTCATGGTGGCACTAGAAACCCTCCTTCTATAAACACCCCTAGTTTAAAGCTGCTTAGTTATATCTAGTGTTGGCCATACTTTCATTGAAATGAATGGGAAATTAGATTAACCCTGTACAGTTTTTTTGGTGAGAGATTAGAAAGAGTTGAATGTTATTCTTCCCTCATATCCCTGAATTCCTGATCCCGACTGCTGTTTTCTCTCTTGTCCTGCTATTTTTCAGAAGAAAAGAATTAGATGCAATTATGCATTTGGAATTATGATTATAAACAGCAAACTTTGGTGCTCGTTCTCCCACCTCTACTTGCTATGCTTAATGTCAAGCATAAGAAATGCTCTGGACTACTTCGTGGTAGTTCTGTTGGTTCTGAGAAAGGAGTGGCATCCTACTGTGGCTTTGGGGGCTTTTTCTGATGAGTTACCCGACTATCTGTGATGTTTGTATTTTATAATAATTCACATATATCAGTATTTTGCTATAGACAGTGCCAGATTTAAAAGACCCATGGTACCTATTTCATGCCACAACTAGCATTTCTTAGGTGTCAGCTTCCCAAGCCACCTAGCAAACCCCTTTGGGAATGGGGCAAGTTTCACAAGCCATTTGGGTCATGATACACAGCCCTGAGAGTAAAGCTCAAAATAGCTCAGGTGTGACTCAGGGTTTTACATGCTTGGAGGTTGTGGGTTCAATCCCAGGCTGCTCCAGGGAGGACTGGGAAGAATTCCCACTAGTTTGTACAGAAAATGCAGAGTTAGATGGACCAATAGCCTGACTGGTATAAAGCAGTTTAATAGGCTGGCAGGGAAATTTAAATAGAAATTAAGCATTATAACACCACTGGGGATGTCCAAGTTCATGTAAAGGAGCTTTTGGAATCCCAGCCCAATATCTGATTCTCACTTTTGTCTACCAGGTGTTTTACACAGATTGTGCAACTAATCCAGAGGACGATGAACTGATACTATCTAGTCCTTTACCAGTTACAAGCCGTCACCTGGTCACCTGCTGGTTACCAGCAGAATTAGCAAGGATAGCCATACTACATGACGACGCAATGAACTTTCACATTGTGACCTTTGATATTGTCATGGAGAAGAAATCTAAATACAAAATGAACATTGTGGGTAGGTTTCTTCAGAGTGTTTCCTAATAGAAGAAAAGTTCTTTTAGTGGGTAAGAGTGATCATGCTGGCACTGGTTATCCTCCCAAGGGTGCGATCAGGACAGGGACAGGGTTTTCCCATGGGATTTGGAAGATCAAGCCCTGACCCTTCCCCTCTCACAGCTGGTGCAGAAGGAACCATGCTCAGTGCCAGAGTGCGCACATGCTCCTTGGAGAGAGGGAGAAGAGGGTGCCTACACTGATTCCTTTCACTGCCCAAGCCTCCTTCCCACACCTTCCCCAGCACTTCGTCCAGGTGGCCAGAAACAGGATCTTTGCCCCATGCATTGCTCTGGCCATTGGATGGGGATCTCCTCCCAGGTTCAGAGATGTCCATGTAGCTGACACAGGAGCCATTGGATTGTGCCCTAAGCTCCATTTTCCAGTGCTCAGTACTGATGCTATTTCCAACCCCCTTTGGATTCTTAGTGAAATACATCGCAAGTGCAATCCTATGCCTGTTTCGATGGAAGAGAATCATGAAACTCCCAGTGTTTCCCATCCAGTTCTACCCAGGAGCCGTAGAACCTTTTTCTGCCTAACCTGCATGAGAAGATCCCCTTAGCTTTAATTTTTCTAGAATAGCCATGAGAGCACCGACGATTCACATTCACGTTCCACATTGCTGAACACACTGAGGTCCTTCTATCTAGAACATCGCAGACAACATGCCTATTTCATCATTTTTCTGTTTTATTCAAAACCCTTTTATCTCCTCCTTCAGTCAAAAGGTTTCCCAAAAATGAATGATTGTAGGCCCTCAGGCGGACAGACTGAAAAGACATGAGGCACAAGGAAGGGATTTGGCAGGAGGAAGCCATAAAATGTAATGGTGTACTGCTTGAGTCAACTGTCCAGACGGATAGGAATGTGTAGTTGAACAGACCAGGTCAACTCGGATTTACTCTCCATCTGTTGTCCTTCTGGGCTGACATTGTTTCTTCTCACATCTTTTTAAATATAAACCCCCTGTTTTCCCCTAGCATACCACACTACTCAAATGTCAAACCTATTCAGGTATTCAACTATCTTATTCAGGATTTTCTAGCTTTTGTCACACCTGTCTACAGGAGCAGCACTAGAATGAACAAGAGCATGTAAATTGGCCAGCTAAGAGCTTTGCAGAGGGAGAGGAACTGAGTTGACCTTACCTCTGCACTGCTCCTGTTATACATAGGATGCGCCTAATCTTCACGTTGAGAGCCTTATGGGCAAACCCACAGGACTGCACCTCAGTTGGCTGCTGTGCTGCTGCAGTGCTATTTGGGAAAGAGAAATGGCAATGCTCGCAGCATATGGAAACAAGTGTTTAAGTGTTGTATTTCTGTAAAAGTTCAACAGGTTGCAAGCTTCACACTCCCAACACAAGAACCATGGATGACAAAGAAGATCATGAAAGGATTTGGCAAGCAGACACTTCTTATAGCAGCTGGACTGGAGCTGAAATTATACACTATCACTGGGACTGAATTAATGGTTTTCAAAGATCACCATAAAATTATTACATCAATCTGGGTGGTACAGACATTACTACTACTACTACTACTGTTACTTTCTCTGCTATATACTAGGCATTCTTTAACAAAACTACTTTTCCTCTCCCCTCCCCGCCCCCATAGGATCCTTTTCATGTAGTCACATCATCCATGGACCTCTCATTACGAGTGTATTCCTGGAAAAATGACAACAAATCTTCCTCCTTGATTAGTCGCTATCATTTAATTGGAGGATCCCACCGATGGTCCACGTAAGTTTTACTTTTTAAAAACTACTTTTGAGGTGCCTGTTGCAAATCTCTAACATTGGCCTTTCAGAATGCAAACAAACAAGCCTTGAACATCCGGTATTGATGAAATGAATTGCCTGTTTGAGACACAGAAAAGAAACAATGGTTTTTGGAAAACAGAACTGAGGTTGTTTGTCTCACAGTGGTTCTGCATGTTGTTATTCCATGCCAGTTACAGGCCAGCATACTTCCCTCCATGGAATAACTTTTTGATTTCTTGACGATAAAACACAAAGTGCTTCCTAGAAGCAGGACCTTTCAACTCAAGGGCCATTTCCCCTTAAGACATTCACAAACAAGGGCACCTGGCCCCTGTATATTTTTAAAGCATCAACTAATGCAGAATAGGAAAGCCACCCCCAACACACACGATTCAAATTTCACCTTAGCCCTGGACTAAGTAGGCTCAAATGATGGTTCTCTGTGCTGCTGCCTTCTTTCCCTGGAACATGAGTGGGAAAACACATGCCACCACAGTGGCATGGTGCTCCACAAAGCAACTTAAGGCAAAAGGTCATGGGTCAATATACTAGCAGTCCTTTCACTCTATCTACAAGACTGCCATAAAAATTAATGTGAAATCCTTTTTGTGTTGATCATATACAATGACCTTTGTGAATTTAGGAAGCTAAATTATCTACTAACCCTGTATGAATATTGTGATGGGGCTCCAAGAGTAATTGCCCAAAGGCTGTGGTGCTCAATTATACCCAAGATTTTAGCTTCAGAATCAAAATACAGACTTGAATATGAAACTTCACAATAGAAGCTATTGGCCAGCTTTTGAAGAACAGATCAAAATGTTTCCATAGAGGCAGAGAAGTTGCTTTTCTTTTTCTTATGACAGCATCTACTGAATATACCAAATATTATGAATATGGACCAAGAAAATCTATGCAGTGTTCCATGAAGTCTTTTGCTACTTAGCCATAGCTTTTCTCTTAATCGTTTTGAAACTAGCTTTATATGTAGAAGCCCAGCTGGAAAAGGCCGAAGCTCCACAGAAACACGATCAGTTGTAACACAGGAATAGCTATTGTATTGTGCTATATAGTGACTGAACAACTTTAAAGTAGGTATAACTAGGGCTTTCTTCTAGCATGCTATTAAAACATCCTAGTAAAGACCCTCGGTTTACAACTTTTAGTAATAAAAAGGATGAATTACCTCAATACAAGAAAGCTGCTTAACCCAGTGGTGTGATTTGCCTTTTTTTCTCTACTAGTGGCTTTAGAAGTGTGGCTTGTGACGATGTGAGCATTGTTGGAGTGGTGGCTGGAACAGACGGGACAGACATTTTAAGGGCGTACTCCTTTAATTTGTGAGACTTAATGCTTCTGTGTTACCTTTTCATGCTTTCTTCACTTGTCAATGAACAAGTGAATCCATCACGAATTTCCACTTGCGTATATGTAAGTAGCAGGCAACTGCTATCTAAAGAAATGGCAGGTATCATACACAGCATTCCATATTGTCTGACCATGAAGTGCAGTAGAATCCAAGCTGTATTTGTATTTGTAGTATTAATAATAAACTACAGAAGGGATGACAATCCAGTTTTCCTGGTATTTAAATGTAAAAGTGATTTAGGGTACAATCCTATGCCTGGCTGGCTGGGACATGCTGGCTTTCTTCTGGCTAAACATGCATATCATTGCACCTTTGAATGTGTGCCACACTTAGAGAGCTTCCCTCAGTTATAACTATTCAATTGCAGAACACAGTGTGCAACTGAAAAATTGCATCAGCACAGTATTGCCCTTTTGAACAAACAAAAGAATCCTGTACTCTTGTTAGCATGGTGCACATATCCCTCCAGCCTGAAATAAAGCAATAGTGAACCTGATTTTGAATCAAGTAACAAAAAACATTGGGGGTAGAACCAGACAGTGTATTTCTATGGACCTAATCAAGATCATGGCAGTACATATGGAACAGCTGCTTTATCCATGACAAGGGTAAAGCTATTGGGCAGTACATCATCATCATCAATCAAGAACCACCACCACCAGATGGTTATTACCGAAGGGGCACAACATAATGCATCTGATCATCTCAGTCACTATGTGTCATAGTTGCACAAAAATGACAAGTTTATTCCAAATAAGCTCTCAGAACAATCAAAGGAGATCTTGAACTAGGAAAATATTCTTTCAAAAAGTGAATTACTTCTGCAAGGCACTGTATCAATACGTAGGCTGATCTGTTTTAATATTTTACTAAGTAGCTCTGTTCAGTCATAGAAAAACATTGCAAGGATAACTTGCAATATTATTTTCCCAATATTACTTAGCAGGGCCAGTACAACAGGAAACAATGGGCTACCACAAAGAAATGTATTGGACTGTTTAGTTTAAGCTTGCTTTATTATATAGCTTTTAACGTACAAGAGCAAGTAGCACCTTTGTCCTAGGCTTTAAAGCAGACTTCAGAATTACCACTCTTCCCCACCTACTGTAGATATGTATTTTTTAAATACCCTGTATCACACATCTCTTAGCAAGTGAGTGAACAATACAGTTCCATTAGCTATAGCATAGTTTATGATATTCCCACATGATTTGTTGTACTCAGGCCAGTGGACAAAGCATTTCTAAAAGCATCCTGAAAACACTGTACAGAAGCCTGGCAGAGGAAGATTTAAAATGAACCAGTGAGATCCTGTTGTAATATTAAAGCCCTAAGAAAGGCAGCAGGTTGTATAGTTAACTCCTTGTGGGCAAAACCACTGCCCTAAAACTATGCAACCTACTACCTCTTCCTAGGAACCCACCACTTCTTCTGCAATTCTTTAAAAAAAATGTAGCTGTAGTACAAGACCAACTTTATGCAGACATCAAAGTATATCAAATATCAGTATCAAAAAGCATGTTTATGTAAGTGCAAAAGTGAAACATGTACTACATAATTATGAACAGAACACAGTGTTCAATTTTCATAACAGAAATATTCAACCTAAAAACAAAGCAAATTATACTTTTACAATTTCAGCTTCACTAAAACCAAATGGTACATTCTTGCAAATAGCAGACTCCTCAGTTGACAGTGAACTAATACACAAACCTATCACACCCACCTCATTCATCAAGAGAGAAGGTATATCCTTCAGAGGAGTAATTGGAATGACCTTTGCAATCATTTGTATGTGGTTTACATGCTGGTAGAAAATACGAGATTACATCAATGAGATGGTTGTCCTCATAAAACAGTAGACCAGAGTTCTTCACTATGCAAGTATCAGAAGTTAAGAATATCTCTACTGAAATATGGCCTCCCCTGCCTAGTATTTTTTCATGCTGACATATTAATTTAATGCTGAAATACAAAACAGCATTTAGTTACAGTTCTTCTATGAAAACCAACACATTTATTGACCATTAGAAGCCAAGGTTGCTAGTAATTCACTAAGTAGAATACTGCAGAAATTTTACTCCTCAGGGAAGGCAATAGATTGTATAGTTATCTCCTGAAGAGGGCAAAATAACTGCCCTACAACTATACAATCTACTACCTCAACCTGATAAGAGAAATCTGTTTAGTTCTAAATTCTGCTTTTTGGGTTGGATCCTGAGAGCCACTCACTGAAAGGGACTTAACACCTTTCTCCTCCTATCTGGTGCCCATGTTTTGCTTTTTTGCTTCTTCCTTTTAACCTCTTTACTTTTTGAGCATAACAGCCATTCTATATCACAGCAATGGTCTATCTAGTCCAGCATTCTGTTAATACAGTGGCTAGCCATTGCCCACAGAATCCCATAAGCAGGGCATGAGTACAATAGTATGCTCCTGCCTATGATTCACAACAACTGGTGTACACAGGCATACTGCCTCTGATACCAAGTCATCAGGACAAGTAGCCATTGATAGACTTATTCTCCGTGAATTAGTCCAATCTCTTTTGAAAGCTGTCCAAATTGGCCATCACTACATCATGTTTAACTATATATTGTAACTTTCAGATTATGAGCCCAAGGGCAGAGATTTGCTTAGAAAGATTAATAGTAACATACTCTGGGGGAGCTTTTTCTATGAAGAGCTGGGAAAACAGGCTGGAAATAAACAAACACACCATGAAAAGCCTGTCTGGATGGTCAAGCAACCTTCCTAAACTGTCTAAGGGCAGCAGGATTATTGGGGAAAGGAAGATAGGCCAGAGGCACCTTCTGCAAGCAGAACTTGCATCCAAAAGGTGCTTTCACCTGATTCCATATGATACCTGTTTCTCATCAAGTTCCTTTAACTATTCAGGAGGATCTGCAATCACCTCAAAGGCTCTTTATTGGGCATGAGTGTGGAGGTAAAAAGATAGTCCCTTCCATAAGCTTCTTTCTGCTCATGGCTCTTGGGATCCAACTCTCTGAGCCCACACGTCTTGCAAAGTGTGCCCACTGAATAATTCAACCAGCTTACTGTTCTGGGAACTACTGCAATGCCTTCATATTTAACCATACTTCCAGTACCAAAGTAATACAGATGTCATGGATGACCGTCTGCCTCTTTAGGAAAGACAGTAGACTGTATAGTTATCTCCCAGTGGTGGGTATGACCCTAAAACTATACAACCTACTACCTCATCCCACAGTGCAGTTTCTTCACTTAGGAGATGGTGGCTGTTTTCAAAGTGGCCCCTTTTTTAAAAAGGGGGCAATTGCTTCATATAAGTTTGTTCATCTAAAGGCTTCTCAGAAGTTTTTCCTTTCAAAAGAAATCCTTAAGCCTTGTTTGACAATCTCTGGATGGCAAAATGCAATTGACTGCAATGCTCAGTACAGTATTCTTCATCCTACTCCGTGCTCAAACCTGAAACGAGAAAGAATAATGATTGAAAAACCTTCTAAGCATGTAATTATGTAATTATGACTTGTTCATACTATATTTGCTTCTTTGCTGGAAGAAGCCAGGAGCCTCTGTAATGCATATGACTTGAATACCAAAAGAATGTTCCCGTTGATTTAAAAATTTATAATAGAAGACTAGAGAAGATTTTGGGGGAAAGGTTTTCCTCATGTTCAAGGTAGCCAGGGATAAGCCATTCCAGATTTTCTCTCTCCTCATCCTGGATCAGAGCAATATCAATACAAGTCAAGGAAAAGAATTTGATTTATGCCCCCTCTTGCCAATAAAGGAATGCAGTTTTGGTCTTGTTTGGTGGTTTAAATTATTTTTGTGCTGCATTCTTGAAAGAGCCTCAAAGTGAGGAAGTGTAATATAAACGTATTTGCATTGCTACATATCAGGTGACAGCAGCAGCAAGTAAACATAACCTAACTCATGAATGTTCTCTGAAAAGAATAATTATTTTCAGAAATAGTTGGTCATGTGATCACACAACAATTCTTTTTAAAACTTTCTCTCAATCATGTTTATACTTTTACTGAATAACTACACAGAGATTTCAGTACTTTTGCACATTCTCTTATACTTTTCCTATAAGTATTGGCATGCTGGGCCTTGGTTCTGATTAAAATAATATTGCAATAGTTTTCCTAAAGTATTTCTCTGGCATCAAGTCTGGATGCCTAATATCTGATGTCTAATAAAAAGTATTAACCACTTAATAGAAGTCATTCTTATATTAAGTACTGGGGATCTCAAGACAAATACGTTTGTATCACTACCTCAGTTTTGTTAAAGTAAGCATTGAAAATGCTTTCTATTTTGTAAGTCTTGCCAGAGTTAACTAAATAGCTCCTTTCCCTACCAGGTTTAGTAAGTAAATCAAATACATCAAAGAACAATGAGAGTGCAACAGATTTACAGTAAGTTAAACATTCAATATAGCACCACCCCCATGCAACAGTGGCCTGTAGCTTGATCAACTGCAGTCCCTGGATGGAACTTCTTAGCCAAGAGAAGTGCACACAGTTCCATGCAATAAGGTATACACACAAAAATATCTGAGAATTGGACATGTCGTAATTTCAGATATCTTCAGTGATGACAGAGTTATGCAACAACAATGAACATAACCTAGCCAAGGTTAAGCACTCCTAAATCCCATCCTTTCAAACAAGAGCATTTAACAATAGGGGAAGTCTTCAATTTTAGATAGGCCCGAACTAGGATCAGGTCCAAGTTCAAAAGAAAGTTCTGTTAGCAGACTTATTGTCAATACCTCAGTAACTAACCATAGATGGCTGCAAGGTGCCCACTATTTCGGGTTTTTAACAATGCCCAATGCTACATTACTCCTACACATGGCAGGGATATTAAAACAGAAGACCACTGTGCAAAGTAAAGGCTGAGCAATAAGGAACAGGCAGGTGGGTGCAATCTATTACGGGTATTAGCAACCCACATATGTTTGGTATCTGCCTAAAGCCTACACTAAACTGGACTTGGCACATTAATTCACTCTAATAAAAACCAAAGGTAGTCATCTGGGGCCTAGTTTCACAAGAAGTTCTAACCTGCTTAGTAGTAGCCCAACATTTCCTGAAATATACCTAAGATTTAGCAGTCCAGCTGCTACTGTGAAATTCCTGCAAATGGAACCTCCTTCCATCCCAAGGAACTCAAGGCTTCTGTTGATATACTCTCCACAGTCTACTGCCCAAAATTAGATGGAAGTGTGTGATACCCAAGAAACTTATTTAGAGCCATTAAAAAAAAAAATCAAAAAGTTTGATCAAACATACAACAGGCTTAGGCATTTTGCAGCAACAAAGCAGATTTCTTTACTAGACCAGTCAATATTTTTATCTTGCCAAAATGATCTTTGTGTTGCCATGAAGCAGTAAATGCATGCAAACTATGTCAAAGATCCACCAGCAGTTTCATGTTTCTCAAGGTTATCAGCATATATGCTCTACCATCAACCAGATCAGTCAATTGATTTAATGTCTAATCACCGCAGCACTAATATGGATTCAGTTCAGAGATAGCGATTCTAACTATTAAATACTGAATCTTTTAAACAGAAAGCCCAGTTTCCCACTCACTAGTTTGAGAAGTTTAGCCAACTGCTTAACAAACCTGCACTGCCAAGGACCAACAAGAAGGTTTAAAACCATTTCCAAGTACTTTTCTTTATCAACTTCAAAGCCTAATATGGCCACCACCAAGACCAAGGTTTCTCCTGCCTCAGCTGTAAAGAAATAGGTGTTATCCGTCTGTCACACTTCATGTATATAATCATCTTTCCCTGACATCTAATGAGTATGGAAAGGTCCATGAATCCTTTGCAACAATTCTATTTTCCTATAAACAGGGTACAAACGAGAACAGACTGCATGGAGATTTATCTATTCAATTCAACAAGAATTATAATCAGTTCTTAATAAACAGCAAAGGTCTAGAGATTTGACGGCACTCCCAACCTCATGATCAAAGTTTGAATTTGCACATTAACGTTACGATGTGTCAGAGGCGGCAATTCTCAACTTGTCGACTGGAAAGGTAGCTAGCAAGACCCTTCTAGTCTTCACACTTCCAAGCGCGCTAAAATAGCGGGCGACTTAAGAAAGGTGTGCCCTTTCTTAAGTCGGTAAGCACGCCCCCTCCCCTCAATCTTGCAGGGAGATATATACGCACTTCTAAGCTCTCCAGCCTTCTAGATCCGAGGTCCGATGGTGAACCGTAACGACTCCTGCCGTCCTTAAAAGAGGCACCCGGCAGGTTTGCTCGCAAAAGGAGACCTCTCAGAGTCCGACCCCCACGGCCGCGCTCACCGAAGGCAGCCCCGCAGCCCTCAATCAGCGCGGATGCGATTGCAGCCGGAGACCGCGCGAGCGGACACGAGAGAGAACGCGCGGGAAGGAGAGGCGGTGCGCCTCGTGGTAGGAGAGCCGCTTGCCAAGAAGCAGTCCGCCGCCTTTCTGCCTTCCGCCCCGCAGCCTGGAGCACCGGGCGCCCGAGGCTGCCCCCGCCGCGCGCTCAGGGCCCTTCGCCCCCACCCCGAGCTCCCGGGGCCCAACGTCCGAGCCAGCGGAGGAAAGGGGGGGCTCCGGGGTGCGCGCGAGAAGGAAGCCGCGACGGTTCTCGGCCGGCAGGAGGCGGGAAGAGGGGTGTCTCGAGAGACGGGGCGGGGCTTCCTCCTCTTGCTTGGGAGTCCCCGCCGCAGCATCACCTCGCGCCCCACCCCCTTTCCCTTCCATCCCTCCCTCGCAGCCAAGGTCTCTCCCTTGCCCACCACGAACTTGCTACGGGAAATGACGACCCAGGGACAAGCAGGGCCCTCGGCCAATGGCAACAGAGACTGCGGTCGGGCAGCCAATCAGCCACCGCTAAGTGGGCGGCCCTTTCCAGACCTTCAGATTTGTCAGAGAAGGCGAGGGGAGGGGGATCGAGGAGGAAGAGGTTTAGAGAGTGAAGGGGAGGAAGAAAAAAGGGGAGAAGGATGAATGACTAAAGCAAGGAGGGAAAGGGCGGGAGGAATTCGGGAAAAACCGCCTCTTCAGCCTTTCATCTTCACCCCTTCCAAGTCGCCTCAGTGATAGCAGGAGAGACCGCAAGCCGTTCTCCCTCGCACGCGAAACCAGCGCCCTCCCCCTCTGCGAAAGGGTCGTGTTTCCCACCCCGAGCTCTCCCCTCGAGGTCCCACAGCCGTTACCTGCAGCAGGGTGAGCCAGCCTAGACGGGACCCGGATGGAGGCGGCGGCGGCGGCGGCGGCGGCGGCAGTGGAACTGCTCCTGCAGCAGCGCTACCGCCTTTCGCCGCATTGGATCACGGGAAAAAAACCCTGGTGACGCTTCTGCTCCCCCCCCCCAGCGCTCCGCCCTCCAGCCGTGTGGCGAGCGAAGGGGAGAATGAAAGACCGTGACCCGTCCGTCACCCGCGCCTTCCCATAGCCATTGGAGTAGGCTACCGACGGGCTCGCCTCAGTGGTAGATTCTGCCCTCCGACTGTCCAATGAGGAGCTCCCGTGTCAGCGCGTGGCTTTCCTACCAGGTTGGTGCTCCTTCTCGCTGGCCCCATTCGCCTCCCTGCCTCCTGCTCCCCGCTTTCCCCTGGGCGGGAGAACGCTTTCGGTTCTTCCCCGCGGGAAAGGAGGCGGCGGCGGCGGCGTGAGGAGCCAGACTGGGTCTCCCTCTCACGTGCAGTGCGCAGGCCCTCTGGAAGTTCGGTGGGGCGAGCGAGGTCCTTCTGGGCGAGGCTTCCGGCGCATTCCCAGATTTTGAGGAGCGGCTGGACGACCTTGCCTCCCACTCAGCGTCCCGCCATGCTTTCCTACGGCTTCTTTTTTCGTATAGTGGAGAAAGAAAAAAGTCGCGGTAGCTGTGCAAGGCCTTCTCATTGGTGGTGCTCGGCACCTTCAGCCTGGAAGCTCCCCGAGTCAGCTCACACGGAACTACAAGCTCGCCTTGTTGTTCATGTGCCGTCAAGTCGTCTGCAGTTTATAGCGACCCTGTGAATGAAAGCCCTCCGAAATTTCCTATCCGTGACGGCCCCACTCAGCTCTTATGAATTCAAGGCTGTGGCTACCTTTTATGGACTCAACCCATCTTTTATTTGGTCTCCCTTCTAACTTTCCCTAGCATGATTGTCTTCTCCAGGGAATTTTGCCTTCTCATGATGTGCCCAAACTGCGACAGGCTCACGTGTGTCATTTTTGCATCTAGGCAAAGCTCAGGCTTGACTTGATGTAAGACCCACTTGTTCATCTTGCTGTCAGTATGTACAAAGCTGTCCTGCAGCACCATGTTTCAAACACATCAATTTTCTTCCAGTCAGCTTTCTTCACTGTCCAGCTTTCACACCCATACATGGTGGTTGGGAATACAATAATCTGGTTGATCTTGGCCTTGGTCTTCAGTAAAATGCCCTTATATTTGGTGGTCTTTTCTAGTTTCTTCATTGCCATCCTTCCAAATTTCACCCTTCTTCAAATTTCCTGGCTGCACTCTCCCTCATCAATTTCCTTCCTGTCAGCTTTCTTCACTGTCCAGCTTTCACACTCAGACATAATAATTGAGAATACAGTGGTATGAATAATCTTGGCCTTGGTCTGTAGTGAAACACCCTTAAATTTGATTATCTTTTCTGGTTCCTTCATTGCTTCACTAAATACAGAGAATTCCATACATACTTACTCAGAAGTAAGTACTGTTGCATTCAGTAGGACTTATCTTCAGTAGGCTTTGCTGCAACTAACTAACATGGGCTACCCTATGAAATTTGGGGGGAAAGTGAATTTAAATTTAAGAATATTAACTGCATATTTGGAAAATATATTAAAATCAGAAAAATGATTGGAGATGTATATTGATTTTAAGTGCATGTATGTATGGAACTTCATATGAAACACAAGATGAAAAAGATTCTGAGTGGGCAAACTGTTTTACACAAGTTTCTAAAACTGGGGAAATTCAGACATTTCATGAGCTGATGCTTTGATAGTAATTGAGTTACAATTTAACAGCTTTACCAGTTACTTGTGCTGTGGTACAAGTAATTCTTTGGCATGGGGCATTTTATGGTTTAGCACATAATATGCTTTGAGGAAGATTTAGGATGTGCTTATTTTTGTACTTGATGTGCCAAACTTACACAAACACTTATACCTTACACAAGACTTAAAATATCTGCATGACAGATTCTGTGAGTGTGCACCTTATGTGTGGGCTTTCCTTTAGCAGTCCATAAGCTGCTGCTTTCCTTTCCTGAAAGCATATGACTTTTAAATATAATGCCTCAGACCAGTGCTCCATTTCATGTTCAGCTGATGGCAGAAAATGGCAAATATTATTAAATACTGTTGAGGACTCACTTCAGGGCATATGATTTTCCTGTCTACAGCTATTACTGTTCACTTATATTAAATCCCAAGATTTCATTCAGTACTTTGAAAATAACCAGACATCCACATGTGGGAAAACAAATCATGATGTTCTTATTTCCTTGCTTCCAACTTCTTAGTAACATGCAGTCCCCCCCCCCAACCCTACCCTGCACACACTCACACATATTCACATCTTTCTTATCCTGTGCTCTCCACCTTCAGCATGACTTTCAGTGAATTTGCAATTAAAATTAAGCTTCCTTGTAATCTGGCTTTTTACTTAGGCCTTGAGACTTCCCTTGTAACCTTGGTTTCTAATTTCCACAAAGAGATCAATAACAGACACCGTGCCCTATTAATCTTACTTGAATATTTGTGGCATTAGGTATTATTGATTATGGGGCTAGGATTACTACTGTAGAATCACACTTGACAGGGGCAAGAATCTAGAATCAGAAGTAATATCCAAAGTAGACTTTGGATTGAGGCCAGCATTCAGTACGGGTTTGGGGCTGGACTTGGATCCAAGGCAACACAGTGCAGCAGTCAATGATGCAAGCATATGTGAACCCTCCAGGATGCCCTTCAAAGCATATTCTAATGTGTACTTTAAAAAGAAGTCTGAAGTCCTGAGGATAGATGCAATGACTGAACTTCAGAAAGCAGAACAAATATCTCCAAAAGGGAGCAAGAGTGAAATTCATACACTATATTATTTGGGTGGGAGATCCACTTGCTGCCTTCGAGACATTTATTAACCAGAGCGTGAAGTTGGACAGTTTTCGGCAACAGTTAACTATATAAGCTGTTACCATGTCTATTTCTTCTTGTGCCTTCTTAGCCTTTGTAGTCACTGTTGTTTCCTTGATGAAATCCTGGTCTTTCTTACAGCAGTGCCGCCCAGGGTTGGCCACTGAAGGCAGAAATGCTGCTGGTACTTAATGTGCCAGTACTGGAGTGGGACACTGGCTCCAGCTCTGACACAAACACATCTTGGTAGCTGGGCTGGGACCTTACCATTTGATCATATTGAGTCAGCATAGGAGTGGGTGCAACTGCTTGCCGTGGTTGACAGAGGGCTTCAGTTCTGTTTTATATCACAAGAGGGTGCATGAGTGCCACACTGCAGAAAGCTGTATGTGCATGCGTGCATGCATCCGTGAGAGCGCTCAGCATAAGGACTTCCTTGGGACCCTGGTTAGATACAGTGAGCGTTTAGTCTGTTCCAGTTCTATGAATTACAGACTATTACCCACCTTGGAATATGAACTATGCCCTAGAACAAGCAAGCCAACTCTGCAAGCAAAAATATTCTGTCCATAACTAATTTGGGATGTAGTTATTTTTGTATGAGTCACAGGAAATATGAATTCCAGTGTGTTTTTAGGCTCTTGAAAGGTTCTGTAGCAGACTGAGATTGTGCTGTATGCTTGGTAATATCATTTTGCTTACGTTAGTTCATTATTCTAAGAATGTAATTTAAAGCACACTTCTGGACATGACTAGCCATTACATCAGTCAGACTTACTCCCCATTAAAGCCTGCATAGGATTGCAGCCTTGAATGCTCTGAAATTATGATGTCTGCAACAAACCGGTACAATGGAGAAATAGTTTCCTGTTGCCCTATTTGTCTGTTCAGACAGAGATAACAAATTATTCAGGAAAATTCCACAGGTAATGGATATAGTTTTGAAAAGTTACATTTTTGTTCACTGAGTGCATTTGTTTGTGCATGTCAATTTGATTGGTGGAAGCTGACTCAACTGGGAATGACAATTAGTCACTATCCAATAATAGGACCTCTATTTCTGCTGTATATGCCATTGTTCTGAATCTGCTCTCATCAAAACATGTGATAAACGAATACTTGCATTTCCATATATCCTTGCTACTGTTTCAATCAATACTGACTTAATATCAAGGGAGACTTTGGTAGTGACAGCGTACCCACACATGTACACACACACACAGGCAGAGTTTAAAAAAAAAAACAGTCTCGATATCATGTCTTTCTGTGTGTGCCCACAGGCGCATTAGAGGGTGAGGGTGTTGTTGCTGTTTGTCTGCC